GTGCAACCACCTTCCCTGCTGCAGCTAAACTTGGACACTGGGACTTTTTATGTCCCCTCTTATTGCACTGAAAGCAAATCAGATCTGATGCTGCAACAGCAGTAGCAGGGTCCGTACAATCCCTGCTCATATGCCCAGTCCGACCGCACTTGTAGCAGCCGGAACTCCCTGCCTTGCACGTTCCCTCGTGCAATCTCCCACACTTGCCACATCGACCATGGCTCTACTGACTCCTGGACCTGTGATCAGATACCTTGGGCTTTTTGCCCGAACCTCCTGAACCCGAAACCGCCTCCGGTTTCCTCCTCTTCTCCATCTCTAGGTCAATCTCCCTCTCCCGAGCTCTAGCAATCATGTCATCCAGCGTTTTACAGCTGGACCGACTCACAAACATGCGAATATCACTCCGCAACATCTCATGATAACGGGTATTCTTCATCTCCTCATCGGCTGCATACTGAGGAACAAGAAGAGCCCTCTCCCTGAACTTGGCGGTGATCTCCGCCACGGTCTCTGTAGTCTTGTGAGGTCCTGAAACTCTCGGGCTAACTGCTGTACCTCAATAACTGGTGCAAACTCTGCCCTGAACCTGGTAGAGAAATCGGCCCAGGTCATGGCATCTAACGCTGCATCATCTCCAATGGTATGACCGACCTCCTCCCACCAATCCCGTGCCATGTCCTTCAGAAGACAGGACGCCAATCTGACCTTGTCCCCCTCGGGACACCTGCTAGTGCGGAATGCATTGGCCACATCCGCCAACCATCTCGTGCTCGCTATGGGGTCCCGCGCCCCATGGTAGTCTGGAGCTCCACATGCCCTGAACTCCCTGAACATAAGTGTGCGCGACCCCATCATGGCCGCCATCTCGGCACGGAAGATGCCCAATCTCTCATCCATCAGCTCTAAAATACCCTCCTTGATTGAACCGAAGATCACAGGAGTCTGCTCTAGTATGATGCGGGTAACCTCAGAAGAAAGGAACTCTCTGGTCTGCTCATCCATCTGCCCGGCCTCTGGGCCTGATCCTGATCCTGATCCCCCTCCGGCATCTGAACTGCCGACTGCTGGTCTCGAACACAAAACTACCATTCTGAAACATATCATAACAACATCAGAAAACTGAAATATCTCAAGGGATCATGATACTACTACTAGCTTCCTGGTCTTGTCTTGGCCTTCCTTGATTCGAGTACGGATCCTCTGCTTTCAGTAGTACGGGCCCATACTACCTTCCACTTCTATCCGTACTTTCATAACGAGAAACCGATCTGGCATACAATGTTAAACTCGCGCTACCAGGCATAACCTAAATAGGCTATCCTACTGTTGTCTACTCGTTACTAGCATGCAGTTCTCATAAAGCTAAACACATATAATAGGCACATAAGGCATCCTCCTAGATCCTTAGTCCTATACTAGCATGCTGTTCTACTGAAACTGGAACAATTATTCATAATTATAAAACTTGTATGGGTAATTTGGGAGTACTTACTTGAGCTCGGCTGATCGCATGCACCACACCCTTATCTTGTTTAAAACTTCTTTTCTTTCTAAGTGTTGTTTTTTTTTTTTCATTCGAAAACATTCTTCCTTTTTGAAAATCTTTTTATCTCTCCCTTAGTTTGAGTTCAGATACACCCGGGGTGCACCCGAATCCCTCAAACCAAGGCTCTGATACCAACTTGTAACATCCCAAAAGAAATGACCCAAATTTTTTTTTTAATAATTACTAAAAACACCATAATAAAATCATAAGGTAAACTCGTACGTCAATATCTCACAACAATAATAAAGTGTTATAAGTGAACTGAATCAAAAATGTATTAGTCACATCTATGAAAAACAAAACAACTCCCAGGACAAATGATACTGTGGTGTGTGTGTGCGATGCCATCAACCGAGCTCTTCCCTTTGCTTGCGGAAGTACCTGAAACCAAAACTGAAACTGTAAGCACGAAGCTTAGTGAGCTCCCCCAAACTACCACATACCAAATAATACATATAATCACATACTGGGCCTTGCCCACTGCATCGGACCGAAGTCCGGAAACTGCATCGGACCAAAGTCCGGAACTACCCAGGGCCTTGCCCTCTGCATCGGATCGGGATCCGGAACTACTGAGGCCTTGCCTCCTGCATCGGACCAAAGTCCGGAACTACTGCATCGGACCGAAGTCCGGAACTGACTGCATCGGACAGAAGTCCGGAACATACTGTACATAGCATCACATAAGCATATCAACTAACATGAGTACATACATAGCATACTACATCGGATGTAACCCGGAACACATAACACCAAATACTGTCGAGCCACGAAGGCATCAAACATACTAAAATCTGCATCGAACCGAAGTCCGGATACTACTGCTAGCTAAACGGGCCGGCATTGTGGCCTTAGACCCGTTCCTACTGAAGGGAAACTCACCTCGTGATCTGGCTGCTGAGTGTGTGGCTCCGGGAACTATCTGCTGCTGCTCCGGTATCTCCCCGGCTACAAATCCACAATTACACTCAATCAAATTATTAATAACTGTATTGGGGTAAATGACTCCTTTACCCCTGGCTAAAGTCAACTCTCCTGGTCAAAGTCAACTTTACAGTTGACCTGACTCGCCGAGTTGGGCCGCCAACTCGCCGAGTCCCTACTCTCATTTCTCACCCTACTCGCTGCTACTCGTCGAGTATGGCATCAACTCGACGAGTTCCCTTTCGAATCTAAAACTTCAGGCAATCTGCATCAGACTCGCCGAGCCGTATGAACAACTCGACGAGTTGTTCTTCGAGCTAAGAAGATTGCCTTGGACTCGCCGAGTTGTATGAACAACTCGCCGAGTCCCTCCATTACTGAGTCTAACCACAACTCACTGAGTCCACTCCATCACTCACTGGTCTCACTCGGCATCACTCAAAAAGGGAAAAATCGGGGACTCGCGCTCGACTCGCCGAGTCGTTCTTCCGACTCGCCGAGTCGCTTGCATGCAGCAACTCAAAACTTGATTCTGCTTGAATCCAGTGCATAAAACTTATAGATCTGGACTCCCTTAACTCGATTAGCACGTAAATTCTATCTTTACGTGCCCATATGCATTCATGAAGATAAAATAGCTCAAAAAGCATAATAAAGGCTAGATCTAGGGTTTCCATGCAAAGTATCTTCATAAAGGCAATAGATCTGGGCTCTGAAACTTCTCAATGAATAGATCTAAGGATATCTCGACTTATTAGGGCATTCATACAATCATAAGGCTTGGGAGAAGCATCAACTAGATCTAGAAGAGTTCTAATGGAGGTTTAAAGCATAAAACAAGAGGGAAATCCGAAGAATACCTCAAATAACTCTGATTTGCCCTTGGATCTTTGCACTACTCCTCTTCTCCTTGCTCCTTTCTTCTTCTCCTTCTTCAAGCCTTCACAAATCACACAAGAACACTTAGATCACTCAAGGATGGATTAGGGTTTTCTCACAGCGTTCTGAGGGTGAAGGAGGCGAGAATGGGGGCTATAAGGTGGATTAAATAGTGAGCAACCCGAAGATTTAGGGTTTCAACCTGGCAGGCCGACTCGTCGAGTCCCGAATATGGACTCGCCGAGTCGCCGATCTATATGTTGATCAACAACGCGACCCTACTCGACGAGCCGGGACATAGACTCGCCGAGTTCCTCCATTAACTTCAAAAAAATAAATACTAAAACCACATACCAGGGACAGGTCGTTACATGCTAACTGTGTTGTTAATTTTAATGTGGTAGATGATGTGTAATATTCAACACAAATGTTCAAAAATTCAAATCTGAAGACCAATAGGCAAACATAATATTTCCTTCCTCATTTACTTTTTGGTCAGAATTGGAGTTCAATTCCATTCCTATCCCGCATTTGGTTTAAAATGAGTAAACAACAAAGATCCCTAATCTAGAAAAAAGCAGGAAGGCATCAAAGTAAGTAGCACTTGGTCCTATTTCCATGGGACTAAACAGGAATTAGAATCCAGTTTCATTCCAATCCTTCTTTCGGACATAAGATATTAAGAAATGGAGAAGATGTATGTGGAAATGCAAAATATGAGACGAAATTCAAATTTATGGTACATTATACTTTGAAATCAAATATTAATCAATGTTAAACTTTGACAGAAGCTTTAGGTATTTTAATGTTAATGTGTGGATTGTATAATTATCGGATGTGTTTGGTATTTAAATGTTAATGTTTGGTTTGAGATTTTATTATTATTTGATGTTTTTGATATTTTTGTTTTACATTAATAACGAAAAATAAAATATGATATTATATATTTGCGAGGGATTAGCTAAGGAAAGAAAAAAAATCACATCCTAAATTTGCGAGGAATTAGCTACAGAAAGGAAAAAAAATCACATTTTAAATTTGTGAGGGATTATTGACAAAAAAAATTGAGGTTTGCGAGTGATTAGTGACGAAATATAGTATTAAGTTATGTCGCTAGTGTCCTAAATAACCATAGTAAGTGACCAATCGTCGCTATGGCCGTCGCAAGAAAAAAACCATGCTCCGTCGCTAAATCTCTCACTAAGTCATTAACCACACTTTAATTGGCTATAGAGTAAATCTGTTTATCCGTCGCAACGCTCTTTAGCGACGGACTCGTCTGTCTCTAAAACCTATGTTTCTAGTAGTGAGCTGTGATATCTAAAAATAAAATAAAATTGGATCTGTTAATTAAGTTGATGTTTGAGCTTTAATTTCTGGAACTATTGGGTTGATGTTTGATCTTTGAGTTGATTAGTTGGAATGTAATAGCGTTTCTTGTCTTCAATTTGAACTGTTGTATATCGTTTTAGACATAAGTTTTGTATATTATAGATTTTCATCCCCTCTTCTGCAAAAGGACATTTCATATATTTATTCCTGTGATCACCATCCCATCATGAATAATTGAGTTCAACTAGAATTAAAGATTGTTACAAGATAATATAAAATACTTGATGATTTTAAATGATTCACACCAACTCATAAATCCGAAGCTAGTTAAAAATGATTGACGATATAAATAACAAAAGTAAAGAGTATGGCTACATACACCAAGCCCAAACCAAACGACTTTTTTTTTAATCTTTACATGAAGGGAGAGCATTATATGCATATGTTGGTATTACAGGGGAGGCTAAAAGTAGTATATATGCAGGTTTTATGAATTAAAACAGGGGACAGAAGGACGCAAAAAAAAAAGGCTGCACCTTTATTCACTTTCACAGTAAAACGAGATGAGACGATACCATCAACGTAGTAACATGCAAATTTTACACCCAAAAACACGAAACATTTCAGTAGTAATGTCTGGCATGAGAGAAAGTGTATGGTTTGGATGCCCAGGGTGGTCTTCTATTTTAGGGGGTAGCCTAGCACACCACTCATGAAGAACAAACCCACAATCTAGATGAACGTCTTTTAAATACTTGTAAAATGGTATTTCTGTGATTGGTTTCACACATCCATCACATAATAGTTGAATTTTCTTCAAGGGGTTGTGAAGTAAAATCGAATTCTTATTCAGTGATGTTTGCTTGTCTACAAGAACCAGTGGGTGATTGTGAGTAAGATATTTAAGCGGTTCACCATGGTTTTCATCAAGTACTACAAAGTCCTTCTCATTATTGATAAAATGGTGCGTGAGAAGATTGTAACTTTCATCAGGAAATGGACAACAGAGAAGATTAGGATTGTCATCCTCACACATGTTGCATTGGCCAACATGGTGGTCTTCAACCACAAAGTCATCTACATCTTCCTCTTCATTGTGGTTTGTTTGTAGTTGGACAAGGTTGAGTGGATGATTGTGACTGAAGTGCTCAAGTTGCTCCATTGCAGATATCGATGAAATGTCTAGCTACACAAATAGATGCAGCTAGAAACATGAATCTTTATGCCATATCACATAAGAAAAATCATTGGTCAATCGTGTGTAGACATATCTTACACTCTTAGGTTTATCAAGTAGAAACCATGAGATCAACGTTTGATCTCAACTTGCACATTAAGTGAAGTTCATGGTTTCAACATCCAAATAAATTTGAATACGATATATAAATCATGCAGATAAATGCTCGTCTTAATTAGCTTGGTTTTTTTCCAAACAAGATTTTTTGATCAAAGGCAAACTCATGATCAATTTCCTTCTGCTTATCAGATATCATGGATACAGGATACACAACAAAACATATATCCTTTTACTTGGTGATTTCAACTCAATCTTTATGAACCATATTAAAATCCATCACTAAATATTTCAACTCAATCTTTGTGAACCATATTAAAATCCATCACTAAATATCACACCACCGTTCTAATGAACAATAATAGAATTGAAAATATGCATATAACATGATTAAATCCTACTTCTTTATGTTTTTCTGTATTTCTACATATATATATATATATATATATATATATATAAAAACTCAAAAATGAAATAGAAAAAGCGTAACATGTTGTATTGAGATGAAACTTGTACCTTAAAGCAAAACAGTGGATATAAAAGTTGGAAAGGGACTAATGTTTGGGCAATGAAGACGTGATATGAACCGGTACTTATAAAGGAATGAATAAGAATATGTTAGGTTACAGTTAAGGAACTTGCTATTTATCAAAAAATCTCAACTTTGATGCTGCAATAGAAAGTCATCCTAATTCTATTCTTAGATTGAATCCAAAGCAAATAAGACTTGTAATATCCCCCCCCCCCCTTATTGTTTTAAGAACTTTTTAAAAACATTTCTAATAAGATACTTATAATGGAAGGATATACAGAAAAAAGTATACAAAATTGTAATGAAGTAAGCAATTAGAGAAAAAAAATACATATTTAAAAGATACAGAGGAATGCATTTGATGGAAACAGAAAAATACGCAAAAATGTGTATTTTAAGAAGGATTTTATAAGAGCAAGAAGATGACCACTAATTCCAAAGGTGCCTATGTGTGGTCGACCTCGAAGCATGAGTCTGATGTAAATTTGAAACACTATTTCATTTTATTCAGCGTTAAATGTATATAAAGTAGTAACATAAATTTATCTATGTGTCATCCTAGTTTCATTGTTTCTGTTACCACATTTTATTTTAAAAATGTACCAAATTATAGCGATATCATGATAACTGTTTTGGGATATGTTATAAAAACTGTATTTTTTTTTTCCAGTTCTAAATAGTAAACAAATCTTTAGTAACAGACGCACACAAACAAATACTCTTTCACATATTTCATTCACAACTTCAAAACATACAAGAAAAATAACCACCAAAACAAATCAATCAATCAATCACCTGTGAGAGCACGTGGTCTATGCTCAAAGGTAAAAAGAGACATTCCTGTTTGTGAAACAGCTCTAACAAATCCCATGTTAGCAGTTAATGTTGGAGAATGCCAATAATCTCCTGTCCCAAAAACAATCTTATTCTTCAATGCAAGTTTTCTAGTGGTTGGAAGACTCATCATTCGTGTTGAAGGACTATCTTTAACAACCACCACATGTTTCACCAACTCACCTGCCCTTAACTTCTCATTAACCCCTCCACACATCAAAACCAAATCCTTAAACTCCTCAAAAACACTCTCGCATACAATACCTTTTCTCCCAAACATAACCTTCCCTATATCCACATGTATCGGATCCTTAATCTCAGACATAACCTGGGAGATCACAAACTCCGTGTTCCCTTTAAACCGGGATCTTAACTCCGCTTCAGGTGTATCCAAAAGCTTTTGTGTTCCACCATTGCTGATACCCGATACAATAGCAATCAAAGCTGTTGTATCAAAGTTTATGTAATTTTCATTATCTGGTGAACTCATTTGTGAAACAAGATTGCCAAAAGAGCCTTCAAATTTGACATTAGTAGGTTTTACCAAAGGGTTGGTTACAAAAGGCTCCTTTATGACAGGTGGAGAATCGAGCTTTATTTCAAGAACAGATGCATGCTGATATGATCTTGGAAGAACATCTATCCATCCATCTTCTAGTTCTTTGGAGAAATTAATGTCAAAATTCGAAAATGTTGATCCGATGTCAACGGGTTGAAATTCGTTAAGAAAATTATCGAGTGTGAATCTGTCTAGCCCGTTTGAGAAGAAAAAGATTATGGAAGTAGGTTTTAATGCAACAGAGGTGTGAGCTGCTTCAAGAAGAAGATGGATTTTAGCCTGTAAACCTTTGTTTTTTAAAGATTCTTGATGGGTGTTCCATGATATATACTTTGGGTTCCTATCGGATACAATAAACCAAACTGGGTTTCCATTGAAAGTGCAAACTATATCAACATGCGCACCTTTATGAAGCTCGTTGTGTCTTGTGGGTTGGAATTTGATTGTTTTGCAGACACGTGTCACGCCAGATATGTCTGGATGTTGAAGGACGTGAACTACTGCTTCAAAATGGCCGATGTTGACAGAAATTGAGGGGTCGGAATTTGGAGTGAAGTCATTTGATGAAACGCGAGAGAGGAAAGAGAGCTCTGATTGGATCAATCTGAGGAGAGTATGCTTGCAGGATGGATTCAAGGATAAGGTTTCTAGCGTACTCATCACAGCCTCGCATCTCTTTTTTGCTTCTTCGACCATTGCGCCTAGAACCCTAAAAGCCCCATGAAAATGTTGTTATCAGATTTAGGATCTTAAATTAATCTCCGCCAAAAAAGGACTTGACTTGTTGATTTTATTTCCAACACGAATGAAAGCAAATTAACTAGAGGTGATCAAATTCTGATTGATTTCGAACTTTTAGGGTTCCACAAAACGAGTTGTTATAAGTAATTTGATGATCAATTTGGGGATAAGATCAGATATTCGAACTCACCAGATGTCAATTAAGAAGATTCTGTACCTTCACTATAAATTGTCCCTGCAACAAAATAACACAGAAACCCTAATCCGGAAATCACCATTGTACAGATGGAGGGCGGGGTTCATAATTTCATACATAGTATTTTTTTTAGTTCGAATTTTTTAATAATTAAAAACTAAAACATCTCTAAACTTCTTTGCATATGAATATCAATAATGAATTTTATAGATTTGATTAGTAAAACTTTGTTTTTCAAATTTATGATAAAAATAATAAAGTGGAAAAAAAAATCAGTGTAACGAAATTGATTTCTATAAATAGATATAACTTTATTTAAATGATTTTTAATATAAAAAAAAAGTTTATTATCTTATTTTAGTTTTCAAGGTAGGATTTGTTTACTCCAACAACCTCTAATAACTCTAATCTAATAACTCTAAGGTGTTGTTTGTTGTTTTTTTGTAAAAAAAAAAACATATTCGAACCTCTTACTACTGCGCAGAGCAATACACGTGCATCATTTTTCATATCGCAGTTATTTATTTTTTAAAAGTGTCCGAAGTAAAAAAAAAAAAAAAAAAAAAACTTATACGCGTGTTCTGTTTGGGGCAACGCTTGTATTGCCACTTCCAACCACTTCCAATCTCTTCTTTTTTCTTTGTTGAATTTTTTATATGTTGAATTCTTGTTTCACATTCTTTTTTTTTTTTTTTTTTTTTTTTTTAAATTCTTAGTGAATTATTTTTTTCGTTTTTTTATTATATTGAATAATGATAATTTTTTGCTAAAATTATTTATTTTTTACTAAAATATAATTATTTTGTTGAAATATCATTATTTTTTGCTGAAATATCATATATTATTAAATTTTCGGTATTAATAAACTATATTCAATACATAAAATCAGTTTATTTTATTTTTTTAATATCTGCAACAACATGCTGATGTTAAAAAAACAAACACGCTTCTTGTTACAATTTGCAGCCGTTTGGTTCACTTCTTTTTTTGTAAAGGTGTAATGTTCGGTTCCTGGTATGTATTTTAAATTAGATTTTTTTAATAACTAAAAACTAAATATCTCAAAATTTCTTTCCATATGAATATCAATAATGAGTTGTATAGATTTGATTTGATTAGTAAAACTTTGTTTTTCAAATTTATGATAAAAATAATAAAATGGAAAAAAACATCAGTGTAAAGAAATTGATTTTTATGAAGAGATATAACTTTATTTAAATGATTTTTAATATAAAAAAAAAGTTTATTATCTTATTTTAGTTTTCAAGCTAGGATTTGTTAACTCAAACAATTTTGTAATTATTAGTACCGAAACTTTGGTGGTCGAAATATAATAACTAGAACATATTGGACTATTATGAAAACGAGTTTTAAAGTGAAAGAGGTGCAGAAAGAAAAGTTGAATACGACAGCGTATGACTGAATTATTGAATTTGCGTAGCACACACATATATATAGAAGCTTTCCCCAAATTAAATCGTACATACCGGAATAAAGCCCTAGAAATTTCAAGAAGGCGAAAATGGCGAGACCTGCAAGGCAATTGGCAACGACCACCACAACTATAACATTAGAGAACCCATCTCCGCCGCAGACAACAACCCTAACATTGACGCTCAATCCAAGGAAGAAGAAGGTGACATGGAAAGAAGGCACCGTCGATAACGAGTTTCTCCAAAAGAAGAGCTCAAAAAAATGCTGCATCTTCCATAAACAAAAACCTTTCGATGAAGATTCCAGCGACGAGGAGGATTGTCACGATCATCATCATGACCATGATTGCGGCGGATCGAAGAAGGATGACGACGGTGCATCGACGAGCTAGGTCATTTCTATCCCCTATTGATACTATACGGTTTGTAAAATCTATGGGTTTTTGCGAGGGCTAAAACTTCTCGGGAAATTTTTGTGTATATAGAAACATAATCATGATTCCAATATATTGAATCGGATGCTCTAGATCTGATTACGTATTGGAGTTCGATTTGTGTGATGTTCCAGCATATTGATTGGATTTTGTATTCTATGTGGCTGTTGAATGAATTTTGATTTCTAGATGCTCGATTCTACTGTTTTTTACGAATTGGTATTCTAGAATCCTTCCCTAACATTTATATCATATGGACATATTATCTCTGTTTCGGGTTATCTTCTATGTAAGCGGATATGGATGTGATGGTTTCAAATGCCTCTATAATTTGTTATATTCCTAAGAATGTGGTATACGATGTTCTTATTGATGACAATTTGATTAATTGGTATTGATTTTCTTTTAGATTTATGATATTGCCTGATCTTAATCGTCAAATTACTGAATTTAAAACCCTAGAGAGACTGTAAATAGTACTATAGTAGTAAGACAAACTATGGATTATAAGCAGGACAAAAATGAGAATAATCTTAAGGAAATAGCTAACATATTTTTGCACTATAATGTTAAACTGTATTAGCAATGTATTTGTAATTTTCTATGGATTATATCATTTTTTAACCTGAAATACTGCTTACTTGTTAATTTTTTCTTTCAATTTTCTGCATATGTGGCATCCTACTCAAGCTTATGTAGCAGATGAAGTGGCAATAACCCATGTCACAAACGTTTCATATTACTCAAGCTAGAAACTAAAAACTAGGCCTGGCAATCGTGTTGGGTTGGTGGGTCAAAATATGCCAACCCAAACACGATCCATTTAACTATACAGGTCACGGGTTGGCGGGTTTGGAACATAAACCCATATATGACCCATCAACCCATTTATTTATACGGGTTCACAAGTTGGCGGGTTCATGGGTCAGATTTGGGTTCGTGGGTTCAAATTTTAGATATTTAAGTCTTAAACATCCAAATGAAAATTAAAAGCATTCATAGAAACATGTTACAGACTTAGCTTTATAGATTACGATTTATAACCTTAGACCATCCACCACGAATCCACCACGAGTAATAATGTCAAAACAATCAAATGGTATATATTATATAATACTTATTAAATATTAATACTTGATACATAAATACATTTAAAAATATAATAATTTTTTTATTAAGAATATAAACAGGTTGGCGGGTCAACCCGTTTATTTTTTGAGAAACTCATATATGACCCGTTTAATAAACGGGTTGATGAGTTGACGGGTTGAAAAACTCAACTCAAACCCATTTATTTCGTGTCGTGTCGCGTGTGTTGTCAAGAATTGTGAGCCCTACTAAAAACTAACTTTTAGCTTTTAGGTTAGCTAATTTGGTAATATTATGATTTTGACCAATAAGATTAAATCAGAATAGATATTCATTTAAAAAAAAAAAAAAAAGAATGGATAAAGTAAGTAACAAAGTTTTCCAGTGCAGTTTTTATTTGTGGAAGGCAATGGGATGGGTATTTTTTGCCATGTGTACTTTTCTTTGAGTGCAAGGAAGGGAAAAGAAAAAAAAAAAAAGGGAAAGGAAAAGATAATAAGTGTAAATTATCTTTTTACTTATATAATTATGTTGTAAAAAGAGTCTAAATATATTTTTAATATGGAGAAAAAAGGGAAGAAAAAGGAAATTTGATAATTTTGTAATTGTTGCTGAGTATTTGATAATTGCAAGCATATCAATAAGAGGAAAGCAGGAAACAAATATCCTTGTCGTCATCATATTTCATAAAAAAAAAATTCAAGTATCCTTGCTTTTCAAATATCGGATGTAAAGATTAAAAAGAAGAAACAACAGAATCTTCTTCCTTTTTTTCCACATACAACAAAACCAAAACCACAACTTTTTCTTTGTTTCTTTCCTTTTACTTCTTTTCTTTACCTTTGCCTCCTTTCTTTATCCCGATAAAGACCATGAGAACATAGTGTAAAGGTGGGTTGGAAGTCACTAAACTAGAGGTGCCAATCAAATCATATGAAAAGAAACTAATTTGGCTTGTAAGTTATTTACAACGATCAAACACATATTATGAAAACAAGAAAAAAGAAACCCGAAACTCGCCTAAAATATTTTCAAACATTTATAATAACCATAAATCATTTTATTAACACGCCTCCATATTTATATCAACAATACTCTTTGTATTCATAGTTGATACTTGATACATGAATTATATACAAAATCTTAGAAAGAAAAAATATATATATACTTCCAATCAAATTACTTGACCAGAATTAACAATTACACTGCAAGAATTCATTTAGTGTTATCTCAAGTTAAGTCTCAAAATACAATGATTCTTTTACACGATAAAAGTTACCAATCACCATTGAGTTAACTCACTTCCAAATACAATATGTTATGTACAAGTATATATGCCATAGGTACAAATCTAAACCGCCACCAACCAACCAACCAAATCACAAAAATCACTCTCACTTTACACACCAAACCTCGTAGTTGTAGTTAGAAACATAAAAAGTAAAAAACTTACATGGTATCGTATCAACAATTAGGAAGATTGTTAAATCACATCACAGCCAAAAGTGCAGCATTGCCTGTTCAAATAACGACCAAAATTGAATAAATCAGTATACTCAGGGACCAAAAACGTAATTAACTCATATTTCCAAAAACATTACCAAAACAGAAAATGTTAAAATACCTACCTCTGAAAGTTGAAGCATTTGCAAGTCATAATTCTGAGACAAATTTTCATTTTTCTTGTTTCCATTTCTGATCTCAAATTGTATTGAATCCAATTTCTGATTTATCTCATTTAACAATCTCAACACTTCTTCCTTTCCTGTAATCCCAACTTGTTCATCTTCTATCTCATCCTCTCTTCTCTTCACTTGTTGAGATGACCCTTCAACAGGAAAATCAATCGCCATCTGGCAATCCACAACAATATTCTCTCCCTTTTCTTTCTGTTTCAAAAGTAACATTTTTTCGTATGATTTTATAGCCTCTTCAGGAAAAATCAACACTTTTTCCAACTTATTTTCACCTCCCAAGATCAATTTCCCATTATTATCCTTCGCCTCATTTTCATGGTTTAAAACAACTTCAATTTCAGGGACTTCAAACACATCATGCACACTTAAAGAACAAGTATCCGAAGGTGTTTCGTCATTTTCCAACTTTTTGACACTTTGATTTTCATCTAATTCGTTTGTTTGAGGAAACCCA